AAAATAATAATAATAATAATAATAATTTTACACTGGCACAAACAGGCCACTTACCAAAAAAAGCATATTAACTGTACTCTCTGACCTAGTCACCTAATGTACGGCACAAAGTACATCTTACATTATTACTTGGCACACCAAGTTATCCATACAAATCACAATTCCAACCCAAACTCGAAGTTAGTAAATACATTTAGTATTTGAGCTTGAGTTATTTGTGTTCAAATGTTCATTAAATTGGCCTATGCAATCTTAACAACATTCTAACACATATTTAAATTCTCGTTTCTCCTCTATTATTTAAAACACACACACACACACACACACACAAACTATAACTCTGTTAAACAAGAAATCAAGCATAAGCCAACAGGCTCAGCAAAATCACGCTTAAATAGGACAAGGAAAGCTTCAACTTCATAATAATTATCAGGATACCAATCACTTAAATATGATTCAACAATCACTTAAATATGACTCAAGAGGAATTTCTGGTTTTAAAAAAAGAAATCCTGGGCCGGGCGCGGTGGCTCAAGCCTGTAATCCCAGCACTTTGGGAGGCCGAGGCGGGTGGATCACGAGGTCAAGAGATCGAGACCATCCTGGTCAACATGGTGAAACCCCGTCTCTACTAAAAATACAAAAAATTAGCTGGGCATGGTGGCGCGTGCCTGTAATCCCAGCTACTCAGGAGGCTGAGGCAGGAGAATTGCCTGAACCCAGAAGGAGGTTGATGAAGTGAGCCGAGATCGCGCCATTGCACTCCAGCCTGGGTAACAAGAGCGAAACTCCGTCCCAAAAAAAAAAAAAGAAGAAGAAGAAATCCTGTGATTAACTAGAGCACAGCATTATCAGAAACTGATTATGTAAAACAATAGTTTTCTTTTGGGATGTGTATGTGTGTGTAATGAAGTTCACAGCTAGGTTACACTAATGACTCACTTAAACATTTGAATTTTGTGCTATCTTAACCTTTAAATCAGCTGCAAAAGTAGCTGCCAAAAGTGGTTTAATAGGAAAGAATATTACTCCCAAAAGAACTTGGTATATACAACTTATTTTACTACTTAAATGTTTTTTTTAAATCATTGAGATTTGAAACTGATTTTTAAGTAATGAATACTTCCTAAATCTATTAATATTCAGCATATACAGGTTTTTAGAAGGGCACAGATTATATTATTACATGTGTGTTTTTATAGCACCTGGCACATTTCTGTTCAGTATCTGTTCAGCATTACACTTAATTATTGTAGGACCTGACAGTGTTTACGATCCTATTTTTTTCTTTTTTGAGACAGAGTCTTGCTCCGTCACCCAGGCTAGAGTGCAGTGGCACGATCTCAGCTCCCTGCAATCTCCACCTCTGGGTTCAAGCAATTCTTGTGCCTCAGCCACCGAAGTAGCTAAGATTACAAGCACATGCCACATCACCAGGTTAATTTTTGGTTTTAGGGTTTTTGTTTTCGTTTTGAGACAGAGTCTTGCTTTTGTCACCCAGGCTAGAGTGCAATGGTGTGATCTCGGCTCACTGCCACCTCTGCCTCCCAGGTTCAAGCAATTCTCCTGTCTCAGCCTTCCAAGTAGCTGGGACTACTGGTGCCTGCCACCAATCCCAGCTAATTTTTTTTTTTAATTTTTAGTAGAGACCGGGTTTCACCATATTGGTCAGGCTGGTCTCGAACTCCCAACCTCAGGTGATCCGCCACCTCGGCCTTCCAAAGTGCTGGGATTACAGGCATAAATCACTGCGCCCAGGCTACTGTCCTATTTTTTTAAAACTTTTTTTACTGACCAGTAAATCAAGGTTGAAAAGGTAACTGGTACATTTTATTTCTTGATTTGGATTACCTTTTTGTTGTAAATTGGTTCTCAGTTCCAGTTTCCTTGTGACAAAACAGTGATAGAGAATATATTGAACTGAAATTCCCTGAATCCATTCCCACTGAGAAAATAATACATTTGAACTGTTCACATTTCATTGTAAAAGATACACAACTTTAGAGATTACTCTTGAAGTTTTGAAAGTAAAGTGAATCAGAAGTCAGTCCTAGAAGCTGTCTGGAACAGATGTTTATCCTATACACCCAGTCCCCTTTACCACTGCAAACCTCTCTAATAGTTCATTACATTAGAACAACTGAGATAGAATAGGATTTGTGAAAATAAAAATCCTTTGAGACATTTGTTAAGCAGATTATCTCTGAAACTGCACCCAGTTTATAAGCCTGTGGGCAGCAATTTGACCCTCTTCTATGTTCATCTGTGTACGCCCTCATTTCACATTTTCTCTGGCTTCCAATTTTAATTTTTTTATCTAATCCATACAGTAAGTCACTCTATCAGATTTTACATTTATATGACTACTGAAAACACTACTGCAATGCGAGACTACTACATATGCAAAATTGCTGATTTTAGTGAGATTTCTCTCTCTCAACTCCTCCTCTACCCCTCTACCTGGGTTAAATCCCAAGAAAAACCTCTGTATAGTGCTACAATTTTACTTTCCCTAGGGTAGGTTTATTTGACTTATTAATGATACTAAAAACTTTTTTAAAAGACTGCTGGTGTATATAGTTTCCAACATTGAGAACAGAAATAAATCCTCTAATTATTTCAAGAGAAATTATATTTCTCATAAAAGATGAAAAGGTATCAATTCAAAGGAGTCCTGGGAAGTCATAGAGTGTAAATACTTCTGGTAACAGAACAAATTAATGTCGTGGTACAGCCAATAACATAATAATGCCTCAATGCATCCGTGTCTGTCAAAGGACATCTGTATTAGCAGCTCGGGGAAGTGGCATTTGCAGAAAGGCACAACAACTGCGCTTAAAAGAAAATCATTAAGCCTCAGCCATTAATCCCCTCCCCCTTCCTCTTCCTCTGGATCTTTACAAGCAATTAACCAGTAGAAGGTGCTATTCTGCAACCCACATGTATTCACACCAACCTCCATCCTTGGGCCACAACTGGGTTTACTCCAGGTGGACTCAGCCTATTCCCTGTCCAGGATTCAAAGGTGCCCCCAAACAGAAAACCAGATATTTTCCTACAACCCTTATTTACAAAAACAACATTGACAGCTCAACTGCCAGCAAACGTGACCACCAAACCATCACACCACTAACAACATGCAAACATCATCTTGCTAAATATTCACCCCAATACAATCTTTATCATATTAACCAATACAATCTATTTCTACCTAGAAAGACTCTGCTCACATTCACTACTAAGAGTCAAGTGAACAAACCACTGTTCCCAACAAAATCAGGGGCAATAAGAAATATGAAAGCAATGAGAGCTGAACATAAGGCCACAACATATAAAGAGAAATTTCATCTTTACATATACAAAAAAGAAAGAGCAGCAGAAATCAGGGCTGCAAAGGGAAGAAAGGGAGGCAGAGAGAAGAGGAGTCTCTGAACATGTTTTTGGGTGTCCTTTAGTTTCCAATGTACTCTTCTGCCTCACAAGGTTGCAAAAAGGCCAGGCATGAGATGGGTGGAAGAAAGCAGAAACAGAAAAGCACCCTCCCTTCCCCCATCTTCTCTCTTCTCTCCCAAAAAAGAGCTGTGTTTGTCTGTGCAAACCTAGTCCCAAATATGGGAGAGAGAGAATGAATGTGTGTATGGAAGAACAATGAGCCCTCAGCCTGGTATTGTGTGTGTGTGTATGTGTGTGTGTGTGTGTATGTGTGTGTGTGTCTGTCTGCCTCTACCTCTTTTCCCTTCGACCTCAACAACAACAGGGAGAGCTGGAAGCCAGCCTTCCACCCATCCTAGACCATCAAAATCAAAACTGGTTGATAATTTACAGTAGTATTAACTCAGCAAGCAAATCCATGGAACAAAATATCAACCCAAAGATGATTTTATTATTGTATAGATCCAGGCTCTCTCCCCTCCCCCAACAGACTGAGACTAAAGAGACCAGTGTACACTAGACAAAAAGGTCTCTCTTTAAATGGAAAGCAATTATGAAAACTGTTTCAAATCTTAGGTGCATTAATTCCTGCTACATTAAAATGCCTGTTTTGTAATTCACCAAGTTCACCCTCTTACTAGTTATCTTTTTTTGTGTTTAAAAAATTGCTTTGAAGAAGGCTATTTCAGGATTCATACAAAACTACTTTCTAAATGTACCTTAAAATAGCAACACATACTGAAACATTTAAAGCACCCAGTTTCTCAAGGACACATTTTGCTTAAATCAATGTTTGAAGTCTGTAATCCAGAAAAATTGTAAGCAAACCTTGGAAAAGAGACAGAGGAAAATGACAATTCAACAATGAATCATTTTGTTTTCCTTTTAACAACTTCTCAAGCAACGAGTTTCAAATGAAACCTGCAATACGTCCCCCCCACCAACAGACACACATACACACATCACCCCGTGTAAAACTACGAATCTTTCCATCACCTTAAAAATTAATAATAAATTGAAGCCACCCTCCTTCAGAGAGCAGAACTAAAACAGAATAGTAAGAATTCTATTCTGCTGCAAGTGACTCTGGGTTTCATAATTTTCTAATCACATACAGCTGAGAACCAGAGATTGGGAACACAAAGAGGAAATCTTCCCCCTAATGAGAAAATGATACTTTAATAAGAAAGTCCTCCCCCCAACACCCCCAAATCCACAAACATCCAAGAAATTTACAGTTTCAGTCCTTGACTTCCTTCCCTCCCAGTTTCAGCCAATAATTTAGTCACATGAAATAGTTCAACCTCAAACTACAACAAGAGCATGAATAAGAGGCCAAGGGAGAGCAGGGGTCAGAAGGCACGCAGGACGGTCACCTGGCCTGGACACGACCAAAGAAGTGTCCTGCCCTCGCCCAGCTCCCCTCGAGTTCGGCTTCGACCCCAGCCTTTTCTTCCTGCCTCCCCCCGGGCTAGTGACTGCTTTCACGGCCGACCCTCTCTGACCCACCAGGACGAGCGGCCAAAAAAGAAAGCACACGACCCGGCGCGGCCAAGTTGGAGACTTACCTTCCCCTAAAGCGCTACACCATCAATAGAGAGGTGTTCGCGGCCCAGCTCCGGGGAAAGTGGCGGGGATGGGGCGGGAGGCCGCGGGGAGGCTGCGGGGCCGCGGGGCGCAGGGCCGAGAGGGGCGGCCCGCGGGGAGGCGACGCGGAGGGACTGCGGGGGCTTCCCTGCCGTGACCTTTCCTGCGACTTGAAACTAGGCTCCCTGCTCCTCGGTAGGGCAGATCTCTCAGAAGCGAGAGCCCAGGATCATGTCTGGTTTTGTTTTCCGAGGGCGAGGGGGCTCCCTGAGGATAATGGTGATTTTTTTTTTTCCTCAACTAGGAGAGAAAATGAGGCAGAGACAATGTGGGGAGCTAGAGAGGGGAAGAGGAGCGGGGAGGAGGCGGGGACCGAGGCCTGGCGGGGCGAGCGTCTCGGGGCGTGCGGGAGGCTGAGGAGGATCCGGAGCGCGAGGGGCGGCTCGCGAGCGTCTGTGGGAGCAGCGGCACCTCCGCGATGGTGGCGGAGCCGCGGCGGAGCTGCTGCACCGACTCGCCACCCACTCCCCGCTCGGGCCCGGCCCACCTCGCAGTATCGCGCCTCCCCATTGGCTCAGCGCGGCGTGACGCGCCCAGGTGCCCGGCCAGTGGGAGGTGGAGGGCGGGCGGAGGAGGCGGGATCTTTTTCCTTTTTTTTTTTNTTGCCCACACCTACCTAGCTTCCCAAATCAGTGCTATCTAAATGCCTTTGTCCAAAAATGTATGGATCTCTGTCTTTTGCAGAGGGCTGCATGTGTGTTCTATAAGCTTCTTTTAGCTCAGAAGGAATACATATGTTGCTAGAACTTAGGAAGTTTCGGGTGACTTGAACACTGATCAAAAGTAGGCAAGATACAATCTTAGTTTTATGTATATGAAACTCAGTAAACTGAAATAATCACATAAAGCTATCTCCCATGAAAGCACATTCTAATTGAACATTTCAGGACTGGCTGAGAAGACATTGACCTGCGGGTCTAAATGTGGTTGACAGGGAGATGCAGCTAGCCATTTGAGGGCTTGGGGACCCTACACTCTCTTAGGTGTATACACATGACCTAAGAGATTTGTTTTTCTAAGCATCTCTTCTGACCTGAACTGTGAATTCTTTCTTTTCTTCCTTTTTATCTTCTTTCTTCCTTTTCATTTCTTATTTTTTTTTCTTTTTTTTTTTTTTTTTTTTCCTTTTTTTAATAAAATGAGCAGAGGAGAAGACGGGGGCGGGGGGGCGCCGATGCTTGACTACACCGCGGGCCGGGGCTCCAGGGCGCGCGCTGCAGGCGGCGGCGGCCCGGGGCGGTGGGCTGGGCCCCTGCTGGGGGCACGTCTTTGTGAGAGTGCGAGGCCAGCCCTCCTCCGCCGCCTGCTACGCTTCGGGACAGTCCCCCGCGCCCTCCCGGGCGGGGCCGGGCTAGCGGGGCTGGCAGGTCCTGAGTGGGGTGGGCGGGAGTCAGGTTGCTCCTGCTGTTACCCAGGTCTTAATTGGCCTTTTCAGTCATTAGGACTCAGATCCATGTTCCTGGGGGCTGCAGAGTGGGTGTAAACGACTGGCTTATGGACTCTCGAAATCGTAATGAGCAGCTCATAATATTTTTCAAATAGTGTACATGACAAAAGATGAATTAAGAAAGAGAAATAAAAGTGGTAAGTTGCACTGCTTATTTAAAAGGAATAAAAAGTGTCATCAAGGCATAAAAGAGAGACTGTACAGGTACAGAAGGGATTTTAGAAAGAGCAGTGTACAACTCTATAGGGTAAGTGTGAAAAAAATCTGAAAAAGAGGAAAAGGCCAAACATCACCTTTTTCTTTGAAGAATAAAGTATTGTATCCCACTTCCCAAAAGCCTGATAATCCCAGGGTCTATGATGCTGTAAAGGGAGTAGAGGCAGGCCAAATGATCATATTCTAGTTAATATCATTTATAGGATTGAGGGGTTTGGAAATTTCAATTATGATTAGTTTTTGAAATGCATGTCATGTTTATTGAGTTCTTTCACAGAGCCTGGCACGAATCCAGGGTGAATCATCAACCTATTGTTGGTTTGTTAATATTGCATAAAAGCTTATTCGTGTCCTTATACCATACATTCTTCCCGAAGGAGTTAAGGTCAGTATAAAATAGAATAAGGGACAGAAAACGTTGCACAAAATAATTCACTCATCTATTTCAAATAAATTGATAGTTTTCTCCTTGGAATATCTACTCAGATCACTATTTCCACATTCAGTGGTTTCTTTAAAGAATAATTTGGACTAACAGATACTATGGGACCACGGCCCAAGAGATCTAAAAAATAAAAGAAAAAAGAAAGAGATCCTTGCCATCACCTTTCTGAGTAACTTTCAGCAAAAAAAAATCCTCTTTGCTGGAATTATGAAATGGGGAACCTAGTTAATATCTCTTTATGTATCTGATAATGGAGAACTGAATTTTAAAACCTAATAAATTCAATAAAGTACTTCAACATTCTAGATATGGATAGGACTATTTTTCCTGTTAGGAAATGATGAGGGCTAAAGTATATCAGTTAGATGGCTTCAGTTTCCATCAAAATCTCTATCTACAGGAGCATTATTTCTTTTTTCTTCTTTTTTGAGACAGTCTCGCTCTGTTGCCCAGGGTGGAATGCAGTGGCGTGATATCAGCTCGCCGCAACTTCCACCTCCTGGGTTCGAGTAATTTTCCCTCGGCCTCCTGAGTACCTGGAATTACAGGTGTATGCCGCCATGCCCAGCTAATTTTTGTAATTTTAGTAGAGATGGGGTTTCACCATGTTACCCAGACTGGTCTCGAACTTACAGGACCGTTATTTCTAATAAAGGTTCAGCTCTGTGATGGACAGATGGACAATGCACAGCCATCCAGCAGGGAGAAGAAAGGCTCTCCACATTAGAAAATCACATTTACTATGGTGTTAGGGATTGGCTGTCGTTTTCATTTATCCATAAAAATGTAAATTTAGAAGTCTAGAAATGCCACATAATTACAAAGCATAATATATGGTATCAGACCACAAAATTAGCAAACTAAACCTATGTAACTGTAACAGTCCCATGCAAGAATTGTGGTCCAGCTGGAAAGTACTGGACCGCCTTCCAAGGATCCGAGAAGCTGATAATGTAGTAACATAATCTTCATAATAAGAACAACCATTAAACTTGATTGAAAGCTTATGATGTCCCCAGTGCCCTAAGAAACATGTTACATTCTTTAGCCTACTTTTTCTCCCCATGAAAAAATCATCTCCATTTTAAAAGTCAAGGAACTAGGGCTTAAAGAAGTTAAATAGCTGAAAAAATACCAAGTGGGATTTTTTTTCCCATTATTACATTTGTAAAAGTTTCCTTATTCTCTTTTCAGCAGTATTTTTTAAATGGGGTGAATAAAGTAGTTATTGAATCTGAAAACATCAAGGACTTTTGTTAGTTATTTTATGTATCTTTCTACAAGTAAGAAGTGTGTTTTTTTAAAAAATATATAGAGATCACATCAGAGCTGTATTAGAAGATGGGAAATGGGGATTATTTAATAAATGCTTTTGGGACAAGATAGCTATATGGGAAAACAAAAAACAACACACACACACACACAGATTCATATAGTCCTAACGCACACCACCCCCAAAGTCACAGGTGGATTTTTAAATTTTTTTTATTTAATTCTTTTTTTTTTTTGGAGCCCAGGAATTTGAGACTACTCATGGCAACATAGTGAGAACCCCACCTCTACAAAAAAAATTTTTTAATTAGTTAAGTGTGGGTTAGAGTGTCACGCGAGGAAGGCAGGGAGGGCGGAAAGAAGGGCTGGAGTCGTGTGTTTTGGCTGCACACGATCCTGTGTGCATCGGGAGGTGGTGCTGTGAACAGCCTAAAGGCTAGACTGTAAGAAAAGAAAACACAAGCCACGTTTCGAAGACCTGTATTACAGGTCCTTCATCGGTTTGTAAGACGTGCGTCCGAAACAGCTGCCAGTTTGGTTCTTGAAAGATCCCTGAATCGTGTGCAGTTACTTGGGTGAGGGGGTCAGGACCCTGTCTTGAGACAGGCGGAAGGAAAAAATCCAGTCACAATATTTTCTCCAGCAACAAATGAGATGTGGCCATCAGGGGAAAGTGAAGTTTACCAAATGGGCAATGTCGGTCAAAAGACAATGTGGCACAGAATATCAGTATTCCGGCCAGGCCCCAGAGATGTGGCATATCAGTATGTGAGAAAGGGGTCTCGAATTTATGTGGAAGGGAAAATAGACTATGGTGAATACATGGATAAAAATAATGTGAGGCGACAAGCAACAACAATGGTAGCTGATAATATTATATTTCTGGAATTGTGTTCGCAGCCGCCTCTCGCTCGCCGAGCTCCAGGGGGGTAAGTAAGGAGCTCTCCATACCATGGCTTGCACAAAGCAGACTGCCCGCAAATCTACCGGTGGTAAAGCACCCAGGAAGCAACTGGCTACAAAAGCCACTCGCAAGAGTGCGCCCTCTACTGGAGGGGTGAAGAAACCTCACCGTTAGAGGCCTGGTACTGTGGCACTCCGTGAAATTAGACGTTATCAGAAGTCCACTGAACTCCTGATTCGCAAACTTCCTTTCCAGCGTCTGGTGCGAGAAATTGCTCAGGACTTTAAAACAGATCTGTGCTTCCAGAGCGCAGCTATCGGTGCTTTGCAGGAGGCAAGTGAGGCCTATCTCGTTGACCTTTTTGAAGACACCAAACTTTGTGCTATCCATGCCAAACGTGTAACAATTATGCCAAAAGACATCCAGCTAGCACGCCGCATAGGTGGAGAGCATGCTTAAGCATCCACTATGATGGGAAACATTTCATTCTCAAAAAAAAAAAAAAATTTCTCTTCTTCCTGTTACTGGTAGTTCTGAATGTTACATAATTTTTTTTCCATGGGGTCAAAAGGTACCTAAGTATATGATTGCGAGTGGAAAAATAGGGGACAGAAATCAGGTATTGGCAGTTTTTCCGTTTTCATTTGTGTGTGAATTTTTAATATAAATGCGGAGACATAAAGCATTAATGCAAGTTAAAATGTTTCAGTGAACAAGTTTCAGTGGTTCAACTTTATAATAATTATAAATAAACCTGTTAAATTTTTCTGGACAATGCCAGCATTTGGATTTTTTTTAAAACAAGTAAATTTCTTACTGACGGCAACTAAATGGGTGTTGTTGCATTTTTATCATATAGTAGATTCCATCCATTCACTATACTTTTCTGAGTTGCCCTACATGCAAGTACATGTTTTTAATGTTGTCTGTCTTCTGTGCTGTTCCTGTACGTTTGCTATTAAAATACATTAAACTAAGAAAAAAAAATCCATCCATGCCTATCTTAATTAGTTTGGAAAAGATGGAGCATGGACCACTACCACCATTCTGCCCAGAATCATTTAGGGTAAACAGTGCTAATATCTAAAATGACGTGGCTGGATGCAGCGGCTCATGCCTGTAATACTAGCACTTTGGGAGGCTCACCTGAGCCCAGGAGTTC